GCTTCCCAAGAGCAGGGAGCCCGATGCGGGGCTCGATCCCAGGACCGTGGGATCATGACCTGAGCCGAAGGCAGACGCTTAACGACTGAGCCACCCAGGTGCCCCGAAAGAGTCTAATTTTTAAACTACAGTGTGTGGCTGTGAAAATAGAAAGTGTGGGAAAGAGTTCTTTGGAAATGAATCAGCTTGCTTGGATGGCTGATGGTTGGGAGCAGAGAGGAGGGTGAAGTCCAAGATGACTCTGGGATTTTATGTTTTGCTAGTGGGGACAGTAGTGGAAAGGAGAGGATTGTTGAGTTTGTTAGAACGGAGAGCTCTCAAAGGAGCATTTTTCCCTGAGACTGGTGTGATTTACTTATGTGTTGGCACGGGGCCAATGGAAAAGGACTTGCTCTGATTCTAAATCCCCTTTGTTGATTGAGGAAAACAGTTACTTTCTTCCACAGAGAGGTTGGGAGGAATAACTAGTTCAAGTAAGTGTTGAGTGCTCCATGAGAAGCAGCTGAGTAACAGCGAGGATGGTTCCAGAAGTGCGTCAGCTAATCGGGTGATTGTAAGTCTGCTGTTGTCTTCCTGCTGCAATTAGTCTACACGCCTAAATGCAGTAGCTAATTCATTAATAACTATGATTTATATAAAATGGAAGTAATCACCTCTGTTACGGCCATGGCAGTTACTAATGGGAGAACCTATTATCTGTCATTTTGGGGGGAAATCAGAAAGTGTCCTAAATGAAAAAATTTAAAAAATGATTTGTTTCCTCAAGTCTGTAGTTTATAGAGGTGGGGGAAGGAACTTTCTAGGTGCTTTCTATATGCTAATGACATGATCTGTACTTTACTTCATTTAATCCTAGTTTACATGTGAGGAAAATTAAGGCTCTGTTCTAAAATCCAAAATGCTTTAAGGACTTTTTGTAATTTGTTTGGCATCAAAACCTAATTAAGCTGACATGAGGTTATTTAAGTCTTTGCTTTATCTTGTTTAGTGTGAGCATTTAAATGTTTTATAGCAGAATATTAATGTCCTTGATTATTGGGTGCTCTCAGACTGGCTGAAGGTATCATATAATATGTGATATACTTACAGTATAACTTCCTGAAAGCCTAAAACCTTCTGAATTCTGGGACACAAAATCATGCAGTAAACGGTGGGTCTCAGTTTTGATCCCAGTTCTCTTTCTGAAGATGGTTTCCTTCTCGCTGTATCATTTTGATGTAGGAAAGACGTTATTAGGGTTCGAAGCCGACGACCAAGAAAGAATTCTTGAGATGTCTTTAGTGCAAAAAGGTGATTTTATTAAAGCACGGGGCCAGGACCCATGGGCAGAAAGAGCTGCTACACCGGGGTTGTGAGGGGTGGCTGATTATAAACTATGAGGTTGGGGGAGGTAAGTAAAAGGGAGGTTTCAGGAGAACTTTCATATGCTAAGGAGGACCTACTAGATACCAGAGGCCTTGCCATTGTCAAATTAAGGTAGTTTTTCCCCTCTAGCAAAGGCATTAACATTAAGATAGTTGGGAGATTCCTGGAAGGTCAGACTTGTCCCACCCAGGAGCACGGGGTGTGGGAGGTTGCAGCATGTCCGCTTATGCTTTGTTTTCAGTCTTCCTTCTGCTCCTTCATCAATTCTGCCTCATTTTATAGTTTATAGATGTTGTTTTAGTTCTAAAATTATGTGGGATTTTGGTTTTATTTAGATATGGTAAGACATCCAGAAGTGGAAATGATTGTCACTAAGGAAGAAGTTTATATTCACACATCTCTAGAAACAGGAGGCAGGGCAGGCCACATAGCCCCAGCGGGGGAAGCACTTGGGTCAGTCAGGAGTCAGAGGCAGAGGGTTGAGGGAAAGCAAGGGCAAAAACCTTTATTGTGTTTTCCATGGGAATGAATAGGGGAGGGATTGTAGGTAAACTTGAGAAAGCCTAAAATAGATGGTTTGAATAATTTTGTAAGATTCCAGGCTTGAGAGTTGTCTCTACTTGTCCAGTACCTAGCCCTGGGGTGATTAGGACAGAAGAATATAAAAGCCAGTGAGAAAAGGTGGTTCAGAGTATTGGCTCTGAATTGGTTGGTTTGCATATCAAAGGTATGCTCACGGGCAGCTTGTTTGCTATCTTGAGGAACTGTCTAGCTCTCCAAGGGCAGTTTGTCCAGGTTTATCAAGACCCCCCCAAATGTCAAAGCATCATAAAAAAAAAAGATAAACACATTTTTATGTATGAAATAAAATCTATGTGGATATTATTCACTTAGAGCAAACATTTGTTGCTTGGTAAAAGTAACAATGATGATTCTTTACACTTCCGAGGGTGATTTTGTCATCTTTTAGCTCATGAAAATTTGCTATTTTCTCTTTTTTCTGCTGTATTAAACTTTGTATGTCCAAGAAATGCTAGAGATCATCTTGTCAATTATGTCTATGAAATAATATAACTATCTTAAAAATAAACCTACTGGAATTTAGGTATTCAGATGAAGATCCTCCCCTTGAAAGATATTTCCTGGGGACTATGTATTTATTTCAATTATGTCATCACTGTTCTTTTTCCTTGTTTTAGTTTGTTGTTGGGTTGTTTTGTTTTGGAATTTCCTTCAGGGTCTGTAGCATATTCATTGGATTACCTTTGGAGTATTTTCATCTCTTGAGGGTGCTTTGGTTTTGGGATACAGACAAATGCACATTAGATGGAGTGAAAGATTAAGTCAATCATATGATTAAAAAAAAAAACCAAAACAGATTTGACTGGAAGAGAATCAGTGACGGTACTGATATTCCCAGTAGGCCTCCGATTGGCCCCAACCACAACTCTAGGAGGTATGGCCCTTTGGTAGCCAGAGCAAAGCCCCACACCTGAAATAAAGGCTCCTGAACTTTGAGGAGACAAGGCTAATATTGATGAGTGGGTTCACATAGGCTTATTTGAAAATTGGCTTCCTTTGTGCATAAAGAAGGGAAGTATCTGAAAACAAAATGGGGGTGGGGGAAAAAAAAACTAGGTGAGATTGCAATTGTAGGTCACTTTATAAGAAACTACATAAGAAAGAAAATTAACAGGGAAGAATTATTAGTATGTGAAACTATTGGACTTTTTTTTTTTTTTTTCTCTCCAAAATACGGGTCCTGACTGTTAAGTTAGGCAGGTATCGAATGGTAGAATATATAAGGCAGATAGAAGTCAAGTGGCAGCCCTGGGGTTTTGTATATGTGTGTGTTTGTACGGTATGCAATTTCTTTTTTTTTTTTTTTTTAAAGATTTTATTTATTTATTAGAGACAGCTAGAGAGAGAGAAAGAGCACAAGCATGGGGGAGAGGCAGAAGCGGACTCCCCACTGAGCAGAGAGCCCAATGTGGGACTTGATCCCAGGACCCAGAGATCATGACCTGAGCCCAAGGCAGACACTTAACCAACTGAGCCACCCAGGTGCCCCCAGTATGCAATTTCTACACACTAAGTAAATCTTTCTGATATCATCCAAAGTGTTCTGTAGATTAAACTTACAAGTTTCTTCTTGCTTTGTCTTCTGGTGTCCGGAATATATAGCTAACCCCTTCATCCTTTAGTTTTGATAGTGTTCTAGAACACACTCACTTCTTTGTTCTCATAACCGTTTGTCCAAAATTTGATTTAGGCCCTTTGTGGTTTTTATTTATTTGGAGACTTTACTTTCTCTTGTTCTAGTGTGTTTATCCCAAAGGGCAGAGACTTTGATTATTAGTGCAATGTCTGGTTCAGAGAAGATTCTCACTGATACGGAAAGAAGGAATGAATTTACAGATAGGCCTTGAAACGAGTAGTTTTTGATTAGCAAAACTCTCTGAAATAGTACGATTCCTTGGAAGTCCTGAGGCTGACTGGTGGTCCAATTTGGTTCATAAGGTTTGGAGAAATCAGAGGATATGAATATTTAGAGAACCAATGTTCTCTCTGTAAGGTACAGTGGAGAAAGCTCAGTTTTTTCCCTCATGAGTCATACAGGAGATTTTGAGTTCTAAGTCAGATTTTGACACTTGTAGGTGGTTCCTTACCCTACCACCATCTCATTGCCCAGACTGCCAGCTAAGCCCAGTTTATATAAATGACTTAAATTTCAGTTCAAGTAAGACAGGAAGGTAAATCTTCTGGAAAAAAAATTTTATGGTGTTTTTCCAAAGTCAAATATCATTTACTTTGGATTATTCACATACTGTTCTCCTTCATTAGTGCAGATCATGAGAGTCTGTGTTATTTAAAAATAAAGGATTTATGTTGTGATTACATACGACTACCTGGTATTTGTCACTAAGACCCTAAATGAATGGAACATTTCCTTATTAATGCAAACTGTATATAAACACAGACTTTGTTGGCAGTGTGCTCTCGTATTAGAGCTATGACATTGATAGGTCATTGCTTATATAAAAAATTTTGTGGAAAAGTTGTTAATAGTTGGGATATTTTAAGATACTATATAATTAAGGCAAGGGTTTTTTGTGGAGTATGATGAAGAGGGATGTTCTTGGAAGGAACAAAACCATCTTCATTGCAGTAATCAAAAGATTTATCCTAAATTTGCACTCACAGCTATTTTGTTTCTTTGATCTTTAGTGCTCATATGCTTATTTTCCATATTAAGCTGTCAGTGATAAACATAATTTTATAGCATGGCCTGGGTCTTTAAAACTAAAAGATTAGCTGTAAGAAACCATCCTCCGTGATCTGTTTGCACTTAGACTTTGTACCTGCACTTAACAGAATTTTCTCCTGTTTAAAAATATAACAAATAGCACAATTTGTCTGAGTTAAGGCAAGGTTACTATTTAATAACATAGTTTCCTGTGATCTGTATTTGGGTGGTGTTAAGAGACATTTGTAAAAGGTCTTAAAGAGTTCTCTGAAGCTAATTATCTTTTGAAATCATATAGGACTAAAAACCTGGCACTTAGTAACTATGAAGGTCATATAGATCCTCAAGTAAAATGATGCATTTTTTTTTTTTTTTTTTCTGTCTTCAGTTCTCTTGCGGCTGGCAAGCGATGCTTTACCGAATGACATGACCTTGGCTCTTGCTTATCTCCTTGCCTTACCACAGGTAAGTTTCCCCTTACCAAGAAAAGACATCATGAATAAACAAGAAACCTATACTGGAGATTTTTCACCAATAAATTGTTGATTATAGGCTTCACTTCCTCCTAATTGTTCTTTTGTGCAGGAAGGACTGTGGTGTCAGTATTCAGAGAGCAAATTCTACAATTTTAGCTGAAGTGTTAATTGCAAAATCTTCTTTTACACGCATAGGATCTGCCTTTACAGTTTTTCTGAATTCTAACGTAGTCCTCTTAAAGTTGAGCTTGGGATGATGTAGTGGAAACTTTGAACCAAAATTCTACAGTGATGACTAGAAATGTAATAGTTTGTGATGATTTCCTTAATTTCCTTTGAGCTAAGTTCCTTCTGTCATGTTCCTTTCTAGGTGTTAGATGCTAACAGGTGCTTTGAAAAGCAGGCCCACTCTGCTTTATCTCTCCAGCTGGCAGCCTATTACTACAGCCTCCAGATCTATGCCCGCTTGGCTCCATGTTTTAGGGACAAGTGCCATCCTCTTTACAGGGTGAGTCCTCATGGCTTCCACTTGATTAACAAGCAGAGTTAAAGCTTCTCTAAAATAGTTAAAACACGTGTTTACCCCTTTGGAGGGACTGATGTGCTTTGTGTCCAGAACGCATTCCCCGTGGCCAACAGCCCCTGCCTTTTCTGTGTTGGATATAGTTGCTTTCCAGGCATCAGTTAAGAAGAGGTCGTTTCCAGTGTTTATTGTGAATGCTGATGCTTCCCACAACTTGGCTGTCATTTATATTATTTTGCAAAGTTCTTAGGGCAGGTTAAAGTAGTAGGAGAGGAGAAATGGAGAATTGGCTTTTTAATTCACTGCCCGAAAGGAAGATGGCTCCAGTTTAGGACAGTAGGCAATACAGTTCTTTGAGTAGTGCTGTTCTTTGATTTATTTTAGAGCCAGAAATATGAGAGTAGTACCTGGACAGATGAAATGTTGAAACATGGTATACCCACTTGCCACCACGCTCCAGACAACTGTGATATTAACTTTATTGTTGATTTCTGAGCAAAAGTGCCTAAGCATGGCCTCAAGTTACATGTGCCACTTTTTGTGGACACAGAGGTGTGACAGATGCAACTAGAAGATCAGAGCCCTCCGGGTTAACCTGTATATACCAGTTTTAATTATCAGCCTGGGGAAATTATCTGTTTTTTTGCACTGGAGTATTTTAAGAGAATTGCCATATCTCTTAAGCAAATATAGATAAGCGTAGCTAAGCAAATATATCAGACTTTCATATCCACTATGTGTACAAATGAAAGGTTCTGATTGTACTGAGGCAGGATTCTTTCTCCCCTGACTTCAAAGCACACTGTGAAGAAGTAATTTCACAATCTAAGTGTGACTGAAAGTTCTAGCTGTCTCAGCCACCCAAAACATAGCTAAGTACATGAAAACACTCCATTTGTGGCAAAAATCTGTGGCTTTCCTTCATCAATTTTTCTTTAAAGAGAGTAACGGTGGCGGGGGGTGGGGGGACCATCTACAACACAGGATAATCTCCCAAGGGCTTACTGTTATTAGATGTGGATTGTCCTGTGGCATAGTTTGATCATGATGAAGTTTGGCCAAGAAAGGAATGTTTTCTTCTTTTATCCAGTTAATAAAAGGTACTAGTTATTTTGGAGATTCTGAATTTATTTTTTTGTTTTTGATAGTTACTGCCGCTTTGTACAGTTACTTTATTCCATGCTCTAGTAATTTTCCTTTGTTCTGTTTTTATGTCTCAGGTATGTTTTTATGTGAAATAAGAAATCAACCTACTGTGCTATAAATTGAGGGAAAGAAGTGATTATATAGGTGGAAATGTGGCAGGTTTCCTTCTGGAACTTAATGGCTTTCTTACATTCAATCAGAATGTTCACAGCATGTTTGCTGGAGTCTGCTTCTAAATACCCTATCTTTCATTAGTGCTGTGTATGTACCCAAGTAACCGTTTCCCCTGAAACTCCAAGTATGTTGAAACACAATGAAGCTTTACTTTGACCAAGCATTATGCCTTGTTATAACCACCAGTCATGTCCTCAGAATGTACTTGACTGAGATTTCTGTGTGGCTCCTGTGGGAATGGGAGCCACCTCTTTTGTTCCCCCGTCCGTGGTCTGTGTTAAGATCACACCATGTGCCTAGCACTGTGTTCCGCTTTCCATGAAGAAGGAGGATTGAAAGGCCAGTCAGCTGGGCACCTCGTGTGTGCCGTGGACTCTGACCGAGTGTTAAGATGAAAAGCCAGATGTGGCTGCCTGGACCCACCACTTACTATAAAAACGTAGAAGACAGTTGGGTACATGGGGATTGGGGTCTGCCCAAAAGAGCACTTAGTTAAAGGAGTCCTCTTGAAGGAAAATTCTAGTACAGCATATATTTTTCCTGTGTTCCCTGATAGTAAATTATTTTGTACCAAAAGTTAAAAGTCCCAAATCATGTACTATTTGTGAGAGAGGTAAGTTAGGAGAAAACCATGAAATTCCATCCCAACTTTTGTATGTGAAAATCCATTTCCTTCTGCAGATGCTGCAGTCACTCCATAAGGACCCCATTTAAAATTTCCACAACTGAACCATGGGAAGAGACAAAGTAGAACATTGAAAGCTAAGGGTTAGAAGTAAAGGTGCTTCCATCTTGGTTTCTTCTGTGTTCCCAACAGTTCTTTTCACTTAGAAGTGTGAGCATTTTATTTCCAGGTCCTGTATTTTGTATATCGAGTGCCCCTTGTGAAGGACCTAGAGCGTGGCATTGCAGTAAGAAGAATAGTAAGACTTGATTCCTGCCCCTTTTTACCCTTAACCCCAATTTCCGTTTCTTCCTTCCAGCCTGTGTCACCCTGCTGTTGCTACCCTTCAACTCTTGGTCTTGTTCCTGTCACCATTTCCTATCAAACTATCTTTTCCTTTGCAGATGCCCCTTGGAACTCTCCTGTCTTGCTCTATCCCTGGGCCTCTGATCCTTGGTTGTTAGACCCCCCCCCCCACATGGCATGATTCCTAACACCTGCTCCCATTCTCCTTTTGGGCCCAGTAGCAGAAGGCAGCTGCTGTTCAGGGTCATTGCTTCAGGAAGCAGCGTTAGATCTGAGTGGGAACAGAAGCCAGTAAAATCCATGTGGCCCAATGGTGATGTCTCCGAACATGATTTCTAACTTCTCAGCTGCTCCAGACAGAAACAGGTGTGCCCTCCAGGAGTGTTAAGACAGCAGCAGCTCCTTGGGCCAGCTCATTCTCCAGGGAGTTCTTGGCAACTCTGTTTGAAGCATTGGGTTGGTTGGTAGCCTGAAAGGTGAGCGGAAGAGTTAGGAAGTATCCGTGATTTTTCTTTCTTTTTTTTTTTAAGATTTTATTTATTTGAGAGAGAGAGAATGAGAGAGAGCATGAGGGGGAGGAAGGTCAGAGGGAGAAGCAGACTCCCTGCCGAGCAGGGAGCCCGATGCGGGACTCGATCCCAGGACTCCAGGATCATGACCTGAGCTGAAGGCAGTCGCTTAACCAACTGAGCCACCCAGGCACCCGATTTTTCTTTTTTTAACATCAAATACAAAGATGGTCTGATATTCTTCCAGATAGATGTGTTAATAGGGAGTTAATAGATGTGTGAATACATCTCCAGTTTTCTCCTCCCTGCCCCATGTCTTCAAGTTAAATCAGTCTCCACGGTTCCTTCACCTAAACCACTGTAACAGCCTGGTAAACCCCACCCTGTCTTCATTTTTGTTAGTTTTGTACCTTTTCCCAGACATCTGTCAGAATGGCCTTTCTGAGGTGGAGACCTTGTCATCTGGCCTTCGGCCTCAAATTCCTCCGTGATTTCCTGTTGTCCTGGCCAGGTCTGCACGTCCCCCACGGTCTGGCCTCTGCCTGTTTCTCCAACTTCATCTTCCTTTTTGTTCCTGCCATACCAGGCCACTTAAATTTCTCAAATGTCCTGTGTATTCTCTTTCCTTGTCTTCAAACCTGTACTCTTTGCCTATGTTTGCCTCCAGCATTTCTTTGCTTAGCTCCTTGGTTCAGGCGTTACCTCACCCGGGCAGGTTATCTGCCGCCTGCCGCTGGCCCGCCGTGCTCCCAGGCTGTGCCTGGTGCTCTTCCCTGGGCATTGTACTGCCCTGTACTTACCTCAGTCATAGCTCTTAAACACTCTCTTGTTTGGAATTTAAATGCTTTTCATCTCACTAGATAACGAGCTATTTGAGGCCAGTGTCTGTGTTGTATTTATTGGTTTTCCCAATGCTTAGAACAGGACCGGGATAATAAAAGGGAGTAAATAAATGTTCACTGGGTAGATTATTGAAAATTAATAAGTAATTCTGTAGCACATGTGAAATTGATGGAATTGTGTGTGTATGTGTGTATTTGCTTAAGTATTTATCGGGTGATTACTTTATGCCAGGCAATGTTCTGGATCCTGGGGAAACACGAGTGAACAAAGTACATAAAAACCTTTGCCCTTTCTAGACTTACATTCCATTGAGGAAAGGACATCATAAGCAAAATAAGTAAATAAAATATATACTATGTTAGATGGTGATAAGAGCTATGAAAATGAAAAGCAAAGAAGAAGAATAAGAAGTATGTGTATGTAGAGTACAATTTAAACAGACTCAGGAAGCACCTCAAATTGAGAAAGTGACTTTTGAGGAAAGACAAAGAGTTGAGTGCAGTGCTGTGAAGATAGGAGGGGGAAGAGTGTTCCACACACAGGGAACAGCAGTAACAAAAGTATCGAAGCATCACTGTGCCCATCATATGTACTATGGTATTTTTTCATAGTGTATTTGAGATGGTATTGAAATTTTACCATATAAAACTCAAAGTGTTGAAGAATTGCCTACCTCTAGATGAAAAGGACAGAAATGCAATCTGTGACCAGACTTCACTGTGACCAGTAAGGTTTCCTCTGTCTGGCTAAGAAGTGTCAAAAGGAGTGTGTGTGTGTGTGTATGTGTGTGTGTGTTGGGGTGGGGTGGGTGACAGCAAGGGTCAGCTTAGGGACTTGCATAGGGGAGTTGTAAGTGGACAGTAGAAAGATCAGACTAACCCTGAAAAGGCATTGGCTCTCTTAAAATACCTCACACATTTATTCTGCCAGTTGATCCTTTGAGTAACCCCATTTGGCAGAAGATAAGACTGAGAAATCCAGTGACTTACTCCAGCTTGCTCTGGTGTAAGTGACATCCTATCACTTAGAGCTTCTGCTTCCAAGCTCTGCCTGCTTTTTGCTTGGACCTGAGTGGTTTCTGGCATGCAGGCCTAATGAGTCCTTCCCAGCGGGACATTCCACTGTGGCTACCGGGTAAAATGGAAACTCCTTCATGTGATAGGGAAAACCCTCAATGAACTGACTGGCTCTTCCTTACCCCACCAACCATGATCCCGACACCAGCTCTTTTGAAGTTTATGTTTTAGCTCTTTAGAATTTATCTCTCTCTGAAGTTAACATCCTTTTTCACACCTCTGTGCCTGTGCAGATATAATTTCCCTGCTTAAAGTGCCTCCGTCTTC